ATTATTCGGAAATCGTGAGATGGGGTCTGGTGTGACGGAGGTTTCAGAAAATCATTTTTTTTATCGTGCCAACGTTTCGATCTTTATTGAGATCATTCTCAGGGCCTGGGATTTACAAACATTGTTTAAATTTAAAAAATACATGTAGGATGTGGAAAAAAGTGAATTTATACAATGCGTAGAGATTAGTGACCGTTAATCGATAGTTATTCAGACATCGTGAGATGCGGTCGGGTGTGATGTAGGTTTCAGAAAAACATTTTCTTTATTGTGCCAACGTTTCGATCTTTTATTTAGATCATCTTCATGGCACTCTCAACGCGCAAGGATGTCACAATTACACAGAAGACAAACACTTTGAGCCCTGAAGATGATCTCAATAAACGATCGAAACGTTGGCACGACAAAGAAAATGTTTTTCTGAAACCGACAATTTTCACACCCGACCGCATCTCACGATTTCTTTATACAATGCAAAAAATTATTTTTTATATTCAATCAAAGTATTAAATTATATTCAAACATAATTTATATTTCTCTGTAAAACAATTTCTCAAAATTAGCATTTAAATTAATTTAGCATTAATACATATTACATTACTAAACATTTATTAATGCTAATCTATTTAAAATAACATGCTGTGCATAGTATCTTCTCCGTTTTCCATTAACGTACGACAGTAAATAATGCCCTGCTGTTGGTGGCTTTTGTTTAAAAAATTCATACCTTAAACCTATTAAAAGCTTAAGCGACGAAAGTGGTAGAGATTCACCGCCACAAATGAGCCATTAGACATAATCCTTTCCAAGTGTTTTTTGACATTTTTTTTATCAACCAGTGAATTAAAACTTCACATACAAATCGTGTTTATTGTTTAACTTTGAATTAAATATGGTTAAAGTAGGAAGATGTTTTGATTCATGTTAAAATTATTTTTAATTTTTAAATATACAAAATATAAAACGACCTGTGGCGGTTGAAGGAAATTAAAAGGTACAAAAATATACAAAAATCTTTATTACTTCTATTTTTGAAAACAAGTATTATCCATTATATCTTTAAACAAGTACCCTTTTTCGTTAAACCATTAAGTTTGTCTTTAGGAAAATATAACCTTGGAGAGAACGATAGATTTTTCGTGTTTAATTTCTGTCGAGTTTTGAAGTTTTGTTGCAACTTAACTTTACGATGGCCAAGATTACAATACTTTTTTGACTTTTATGTGCTCATGATTATGGTCATTAGTAAGTGGGAGTTTTGGTTCCCCAAGCACTGCACGCTTCTGGTTTATTGCAATTTCCTGGTGCTTTATTGCAGTGCAATCAACTCAATCCCTCTCCTAAGAATTATTGGTCAATGATTGTCGTTGATACAATTCCTTTCGCTGGGTTTTATTTGTCACCCAGGTTATGCCTCAATTCAGTGGTTGCTTTCCACTCGAAGATGATATGGGTGGCTGTCTCTTCCTGCTTAGTGCATAACCTACAAATGGGGGTGATTGCTGAATACACCTACGTTATGTTGGTGTCTTTTCAGATGCCAGTGACAGCAAATCGTATAGAAATTATAGTATCCTATCACTCCCCTAAGTTTACACCTCTCTAACTGTACCATTTCTGCGTCTAAGTTGAAACACTTCTCCTTTTGCGATTTTGGATCCATCCTGTGCTTGAGGATTGGCTTTTTAACATTAACATGGATACATTTCCTAAACTAACCGGGTGATGACAGTTTTACACCAACATATAGAAAATGTATGAGATCCTTGTTCACTGCAGGGTGATAACCTGAATTTGATTGTACAGATAATTTTGGTTCACCTATACTCGATGGATTGGTCTGTATTCTTGTCTTCAGCGGTTGATCAAAGTTAATAAATAGTGTGAACAAGATTGAAACGTCTAGCCGAAAACAGCCCAAGACGATCAGTAGCCAAATTTCTTATAAATTTATTTTTAGATTTTCTTAGGTTTTGTATGGTGATTTGAACAACAAATTAAATTTTAAGTAAAATAATTTGGGGAAAATAAAATTAACTCAAATAACTCATTCATTTATTATTCTTAATAAAACAATTTTATTATTCTTAATGTGCAGTTTCAAATAAATAAAATTTAAAAAAATAAGAAATCCTGATTAAACTTAATATACTTAATATAAAATGTAATTAATGAAAAGTTAATGTACACCTAGGTAAAAATCAATGTATTTCTTTAAACTTAATAAATGGACTACACTCAGTAACAATGCGCAATCCAAACGGAATAAGTTTAAATGAAAATTCCAACTAGGACATTGGTTGTAAATTATAGTTCTATTCACAAACTGAGTTGTTTTTTTTGTTTTTTGTTTTTTAACGAGGATTTGCAACAGCAGAGGTTATATCAACCCCCGGGGTGCCGGTGTTTTTTTTCTTTTCTTTTTTGGAAAAAAGCCCATTTGTAAGCATGTCGGGTTCGAATGCAGGTCCGCTGGATTCGAACCCGGGACCTTTACCTTACAGTGATGAGCGCCGTGTCAACGCCTAAACCGTTGCGGCGCCACCGATGCCCCTCACAAACTGAGTTCTAACGCATAAAAATCTCAAAAGAAGTTTTTGAATAGAACTATCCACGTACAACCTTTGAATTGACCACTCACTCTACCGTAAATGTTTCGATTAATTTGATAGGCCAAGCAATCAATTATAAAACCATTTACTCCACTAGAAGTAATTCCTTACCGTTGATTTTTCGTCAAAATCACTTCCATAAAAAATAGTTGCTGTAGTTTATCCTAGGCGATTTCTAGATGGAATTGGCTCCTTGCTGAAAGTGTTACAATCCGTAATTGTTTTTTGTTTGCTATGGTTTAGTTGCTTTATACTCTTTAACACCACAAATCCGCAGATTTGTCTTTCTTTTCGGGTGGAATGACAATAATTTTGGAAGTGGCGATATGTTTTCAAATCGATTTTCGTTCCTAGAAAGAGGTGTGATTATGAGGTCAAAATCATTCGTTCATCTGAGAATATAATCATTTACGTAAATAAAAATAACATTATAACATAATAACTAGTTAATAATGTAAGTAAATAAAAATAAATAAATATATCATGAAAAAATGAAACATCCATCTTTTGTTTGTTGTGCGATCATGTTGATTGGGATTCGGGTTGTGGTCTTAAAACATACAATGTTATTATATCAACGCCCAAGCTTTCGACAAGTTTTATTGCCTTCTTCAGGGGATCTACAGAGACATAGGGATATAATCATTTAGACAGTTATACATTGTATAAATAGTTATAAAATATTAGTTTTTTGTTACTTACAGATACAAAGTCAAATCGTAAACACATTGCACATTCCACGATATGTATACAAACAAACTATATACATATATAATAAATAAATAAATAAAAACCTCTTCTTAACAGCCTCTTACATATATAGGCATTTTTTAAAACCAGTAACAATTACTTAATAAATAATATTCTTTTGGTACATAAATATCACTTATGTACCAAAAGAATATTATTTATTAAGTAATTGTTACTGGTTTTTAAAAATGCCTATATATGTAAGAGGCTGTTAAGAAGAGGTTTTTATTTATCTATTTATTATATATGTATATAGTTTGTTTGTATACATATCGTGGAATGTGCAATGTGTTCACGATTTGACTTTGTATCTGTAAGTAACAAAAAACTGATAATTTATAACTATTTATACAATTTACAACTGTCTAAATGATTATGTCCCTATGTCTGTAGATCCCCTGAAGAAGGCAATAAAACTTGTCGAAAGCTTGGGCGTTGATATAATAACATTGTATGTTTGAAGATCACAACCCTAATCCCAATCAACATCCATCTTTTATAAAGATTGTATTTATGCATAAAGCTAAATAGTACCATAAATACTAAAAAGATTCATTGTTATTTTTTAATTAGGTGCATTGTTAGTGTTATTTAAAGTGTTTAATTTTTAATTAAGTAAAAACAAGTTTTCGTTTCATCCGTTACAATTTTTAATTTATTTCAACGAAAAAATTCATTATGGATTTTTAAAACAATTGCCAAAAACCCTCAGATTTTTTGCATAATAGGTCATTTTCATGGAAGTTCACTTGTATTTGACTGCAAAATTAGTCACCGGCTCTTCAATCGTCGTTGGCGTTGAGGGTTGTGTTATGCAAAACCAGGAACACGCTTGTGTCAGCCTGGTGGGGTTGGCTCAGCGATAAATACTTGCTATGTGAATTATTTATTAAAGAGACGATGTTACTTATTCGTACGACACAGTTCACAATGATATAAATAATATTTCATAATAAATCTTCCTTCAAACGATTGTTTTTAAAAGTTAAAACCACTTTTGCCACTTAAACATATCATATTGTAATAAACAAAGAAAACGCTACAACAATAATCAGTATTAAAAAAAAATTAATTGTCATTAAAAAATCAGAGAGTCAGTAACCAGATGGACACGCTCAAATGGCTGCAGTTTAAAACAAAATATGCGCGAAAGAAAAGAAAAAGAAGGAAAACACGCAGAGGACCGGCGATGACCTCTGCTGTTTGTCGGCCCATAAATATCCCACTTATATATATAACTGTCATTAAAAATCAATATTTCATTATCTTCATACAGACGAGAACAGGTGAAATTAAATCCTTGTTACATTTTTTTATTAATCACACGAACTATTCAACGTTGTTCGTTTCTTGTATTGTTTACCGATTTAACGGTGTTTGAACCTATTTGAAAATAAATTATTAAGACACATTTCATGACTACAAATATCTACATATATTACTTTATCATAATATTATACTATAATCATTACTATCATAATATTATATAATAATCATTACCTTAATCGGTCAGGTTCTTTGTGTTATTTTAACTTGCCTATAAAATTTTTGTAGTGTAAATAAATGTATAAGTTTAAATTATACAATTTAAGTGGTAAATTTAAAAAAATTTAAGACATTTACTAATTTTGTATTAAGCGCCTACACATGCCTTTCACCTTCTTGCTACTGATTTTGTGTGCAGGATATTATTTTTCTAAACAGAAAAAGCAAAATTTTCGTGATTTACGAAAATTCATTTAATGTAAGTCAAGACCCGTACCGACGGACGCCTCATGGAGCCAGGTCAAGTCAACGAGTCGAAAAGGGTCGGGACGCAGGTACTTCAGGGCCGATCGGCCTCCGTGTTGAAAGTGTTCAAAGTGCTGGAAAAATGTGTCAGAACGTGTAAAAGCAAAGAGTATTCTGAAAAATAAAAACAAAAAAAAATACACAGAAAATAAACACTTTGATTGCGTACAAATATTTTGATTGAGTCTAAAATTTCTACCATTGAATAATTCTACTTTCACTTCTTCTTTCACTTCCTACAAGTATTTGTATAATTTAAACAATGCTTATAGCTACCATGCCCTGATGATGATCTCAATATGGATCGAAACGTATGCACTATAAAGAAAATGTTTGTCTAAACCTACGCCACACTATATCGCATCTCACGATCTCCAAATAATTATTATTTATAATTTTTGCAGAGAGATATATTGCATGGATTTCAGCTTGGAAACTTGCTGGTATAGGGTTTTCGGGGTCAAAATATGGGAGTTTTGACTCTTCTTAATAATACCCTCTATTAGTACTTATAATATTAAATATAAAATTACGATTTAAATAGATTTATATGTAATTATACACCTACTAAAATGACAAACTACATGGCACGTTTTATGTAATGGTTATTACGTTACTCTTTAGATTTTTATTTACAGCTGTGCCAATATTACCCTTTTATTTAAAATGTTACACCGCTGGATTTACTGCATTGGCTTCAAAATACAAAGCCCAACAAACCAATCGGGCCTTTTATGGCAAAGTCCCTTGATACAACGCAGCACAGGCACGGCGGGATTTGCACATGCCCTTTAAAGGGTGAGGTAATGTACAGGAAGACGAAACGACGGAAGCAGGTCATGCGTTCATGAATAGGTGAAAGGTTCTTTGAAGAGAAAAAAAAAAGGTCTGAAAAGAAATTCTTAATTTTTTATAGATTTTTCTTACTCCATATAATTAAATTAATATTAGTTGTGAAAGGATAGCCGACAAATTTTCCCAATGGTTATCAACGGGTTGAACAATTTTCCAATATTTACGAAATCTTATGCGAGTTGCCGTTTATAATAGAGAAGAGTACCGTTTCCAGGTACGATAAAGCTCAAATAATTTGCAACCCTCAACTTTTTCATTAAAAGCCAGGCGGAACGCGATGAGGAGGGGACAAAACTTACAAAGGTGAAGGCTCCATATTAATTAAGAAACAGAGAATCCTGTAGAGAGGCGCAAACTGAAACTTTTACCACCCCTCTTTTCCATGGAAAAAGATAAGATAAGATGCGCGCGGGGGAAATTAGGTAGTATCTTTTACTGTCCCTTGTTATAATAATTAAAATACTAAAGAGGCTATCTACACTTTCAGGAACGTAAGGTGAATTAACAGAACGAAACAGCCCTTGGACAAAACAAACACAATTGTAAGCTGAAGATATTTTTATTTATAATATTTGTTTCCTTTTGCTTATTAAAGTTTTTTTCAGCCATAATTGTCTGATTTGTCTAATAGTGTTAATGAGAATTAACAAAATGAAACAGTCCTTGGATAAAACGAGCACAACTGTAGCGCTAAATAATTTTTGTTTAATCTTTTTTAATTAATTTATTTTTCAGCCGTAATGGTTTGATTTTTAAAATGTAAGATGAATTAAGTGAACGAATTAATTTAGACAAAATGATTACAATTATAACGTAGCAGAACATTTAAGAATTTTCGTGCATAGAATTCATTTATTCTGTGCACTGCTATTTATTAGCTTTTCAACTGATTACACACCGCTTTATAAAAAAAAATCCGCAAATTTTTCTAAAGTTTTGTTAATAAATAGTTAATCATTTTGATCATTTTTTAAGCAAAGGCAAACTGCATTGGCCATCGCCAGCCGTCTCTTCCTTAAGTTTGCATTTCTTTTCTACTCTGTCTCACTTATTAAATAAAATTTATTTTAATGGTACTCCAGCCAAGTTATGATGTTTTATGACATAACAATAGCCAACTTTTTTTTATCTTATTGCTAGCCTCTCTGTACCTCTGGGCCTCGTCAATTGAGAGTAAAATAACCAAAGTACACAGAAACAAGAGAAAAAACATGATAGTATAGTCAGCAGTCACTATACCCCAGAGTAGTCGATATTCCTCGGTGTAATAGGAATATATCTCTTATATATCATACATAAAAATCATTCAAACTAGCCCAGAGCACTCAATATTACTGCGGGTATTGGGGGATAAATACATTCCTTCCAATAAATTACACTTATCCACATACTTGAAGGTACAAAAATCTGTATACAATAAAAATACTTAAGGCCCTGGAGATGCCCTATCTCTGTCTGCTACCGAGGCTTAAGGCCATGTATAGGGGTCATTCGGGATGGTTTATCTTTCTTTGCTGACTTAGTTCTTTGCAGGCTTTTATTATATAATCAACCGTGAAAAGCTCTCCAAAAGACAGATACCTACGTGGTCTCTCCCAAATAGAAAGTACCCGTGTGGGAATTTTGCATGATCTATGTGCAACTTGGTTGTTAGTGGACTGTTATAATACATCAAAAGCAGGAACTGATATACTAGGTTTCTTAAAATTAAACAAATTTTTAAGACTTGTTCTATTTTTTTTTTTTTTTTTTTTAATAGGCTAATAATTGATTTTTTATTCTGGCAACTAAAAAAACGCCGCTTTTATCGACAAAGCAAATTGTCAATGTTCGTTTTACTTAAACGATTAGGTCCCTGGGCACTTGCGGCTTAGCGGCAACGAAAAGGATGACATGTTGACCAAAGAGGGCGCCAATATGGACACTCTGGGTCCTGAACTTGTAACTTAGCATCCTCCCACAAAAGAGGTTATATCTTAAAATGGATCGTTAATGAGTCCAAAACCTATTGGAACAATACCACAGATATGAAGTACGAGAAGAGATTCATAGAAGGGCCATCCACAAAATCTATAAAAGAATTATGGAACCGCAATCGAACCAGGATTCTGGTTTGGCTCCTGATAGGACATTGCCGCTTAAGAAAGCACATGCACCGGATAGGAGTACAATTACAAGAAACACTGTGCAGATACTGCTAGGAAAAGGAGGAGAGGGCAGAACACATTCTATGATTCCGTGAGTGTATATATGTGCAGGTTCTTGCAACTAGGACAAGAAAAACGCAACCAAAATCCTACAGCAAGAAACGGCTGGCAAATCTATGGAGGCTGAATAACAACCTGATGATGGCCAGTGAGTTATAAAAAATGGAAGAGCCCAACCTATACAGGTCGAGGGGCAGGCCTTGTGGTCGCCTCTTTTACCCCTATCTTTAACTTTTTAAAACTTTTAAAGTGTTTAAAGTTGAGTTTAAAAACCTAAGATAATAACGGAGGAAAAATTCCTATTAAGTTTAATAAATTCAGTCAGTAAGTGAAGTGCAGACGTTATTATTTGTAAAAATAATATCAATTTATGTGCATAAATATAACACGGAGAGAATAAAACTCCTTGTCCTGTTAGCAAACTCATTCTGGCCATTTTTCACACATGGTTAATAAGCTGAAAAATAAGGAATTTCCATGTCAGAAGACGCAATTTGCGCTAAAGTGTAATGGCCTCTCTTTTTGAGATAAGCCTCGTTTGAGGAGAAAAAAATCGTACTGGGTTGGTGGTGGTGGTAGTGGATAACATATCCTCCGGCCCGGGATGGGAGCTGTAGCATGTCTACATTAGACACGCGGTATTAAGCCCAAGTCGGTTCACCATGGAAATGGGGGAGAGGGACTGAACAAAACAGGCACCCTCGTTCTCCTTTATATTCATCTAACCTTCTAAAAGTATTATCAGCAAGATTTAATAACCTCTCCCTTAATTCCCTATTTTATAAATTATTCACGACGCGATATTGGTCGTCTTTTTCAAATGGCTCTGTTTTTACCGGTTTTTACCCAAGTTAACAAACTCCCTTTACCTTGGCGTTTATAAAAATGAAAAAAGGACATTGACTCCCTTTAAAACTTAGAACAAACATACTGTAAATAATAATACTAGCACAATCAAACAATACAGTTAAAATTTCTAATAATCGCCCACGGTTAATGTCTCTTCATTTAATAATTAATAATACGAGGTTTTGAACAAAAAAACTTTATTCAATTACATTTTCTGCATGGATAGCTTTCTAAATACAGTATAATCAGAAATCAGAATTTCTCAAGTTTGAAATTAAGTTAGGATATTGGCTGCTTTACAACAAACGTCGGTCAGTACTCGCTTTAGTCTGTTGTAACAATCGATTGGAACTATTATCCCTTTGTCCATAGAACATTGCTGAATTTCAAAATTATTCCCTTAAATATTCAACAATCAGATGAAATAGCTAACGAGTTTCAACGAGATTGAACATTTATGTTTATGATTTGATTAAATCATAAATCCTTAATTCTGTTAGAACTGCTTTTAATGTTTCAAAACAAAAATATGGTTGATTTAAAAAAAATTTTTAAATTGAAATTCCCATTAAAGACCCCCGCAAACACAAATGCTGCGTTGTGTTATGAAAAAAATTAATGGATAATGATAATGCTGATTATTCGCCTGCTGATTAGTGAACTCATGCTGAACCTTGGGACACTTATTTGGTCCTCACAACTTGGGGGTTTGTTGAACTACTTTAATCCGTTCCGGCATTGCGCCATCATCAGGGAGGAACTCATGACGTACATTTTTATCAAATAAGTTTTGTCGGTTTAAATTTATTTCTAACGCAGTTCTGAACAGAAATAATCTATTCAATCTATTAACATACTGTTTGACCTATGATTTATATATTTAAGGAAGATCCGGTACGGAGGCAAAAAAAAAAAACAACCTTTTATCAACTTTTTGAGGAATCCTTTTGTTAGATTTTCGTCTGTAATTTGATCCTTACTCTTCCTAGGGTTGGTCCATAAAAACTGGTTCTTTTCGGCATATCGCCCTCTTCAGTATGAATTATATCAGCACTGAAAATTGCGAACATAATCGGAAAGCTACTAACACAAAACATTGAAAAAAGAAACTCACATGAGAAAAATTAGATTTACGCCATAACATCAGACAGACAGGGCGAAAATTAAAAGTCATATACAAGAAACATCCGTGATCATTTAGGGACAATGACGGAAAATCAAACTAGGAAACTCTCCTCAAGGTAAACTATGAGGTACCCTCAACACTAAAGTTAATCATGAAACTACTTCAAGAGTTACTAAGAGCAAAAAACATGAACATACTGTAAAACATAGCAGTAAGCAAATATAACACATTTAACATTTGCAAACTAACAGATGCACAAATTAACAAAAATTCACATACATATGATCCATTAAAAACACTATACGAAATAAAAAAAAATAAGGACTGACGATCACAAACACCGATAGGAACAAGACAAAACCTTATTCACAAACGGTACTGACAAGTAAAGATAACGCCAACAAAGATAAAAGAGACTTGGTGTCAAAAATCACATAGACCAAACTCTGTTCAGACAAATGGCATATGCAGACGACTCAGCGAGGATAGGAAGCCAATTACATTGTAACAATGGAATTGATAAAAGGAGAACCAACATTACCATATCATGAACATGTGAACTATGTGAACATGCTACGCGAATGCGTTTTCAATTAATGGTAGAAAGGCGACCCTGTGGTTTGCGGTGACATGGCCGAATGGCAGCAAGTACGTCAGGCATGTACAGATGAAACAGGTTCAAAACGTATGTAAAGAGAAAACAATTAATTTTAATTTACAAAATGATTTTTGCTTAATGGTGCTGTATATTTTTATTCGTGGATATTATGCCAGATGGTTAACTTTTCAAGGAGCACTGACTAAGTTTGAAATTGTTTCTAATACAACAATTCAATATTATGAACAATTAGGAGCAAAATTAATTTTAATTTAAACACATTAATATTACCACCATGTGCTTCTACCATTTCATATTTTTGAAATAAAATTTATCACAATTAACTTTTTAATTTAAGAAACAAATAAAATTATGGTTCCAGGATGTCTAGGTAAATGATGTTGCCAAGGGTGGAACATTTTCCTCTGTCTTAGCTGACATGATTATGAATGAGTTGTTGGATTGAAACAAGCCGAGTTATAATTTTGCATTAAAAATAATACAGAAATATGTAGTCGATCTGTTCACGGTGGTTAGGAAAATTATATTGATAAAATTATTGCGGCATTTCACCTGTCCTTACAGTTCGCCTTTGAAATTGAAGTTGAAGAACAATAGCCTTTTTCCGATGTAATGGGCATTAGAGACTGAAAAACATTGAGCACCAATTAGTACCAAAAACCTACTACCACTGACAAATTACTCTACTTTTTTATCAAGTCATTCGGTCCAAATTAAAAGTAATGTAACCTGAAACCTTATTGACTTTGCGATTAAATTAAATGACACTCATTTCCATAAAAATAAAACAAATCCTAAAGGCACCCGGTTTTCGTAATTAACAGGCTCCTTTATATATTATACTTGGTTGTATCATGAGGATTCAATTTTGAATATCAACACTAAATTTGACGTCATTACATATGTAAATGGTGTATTCAAAAACGCTTAATTGAAATTAAACGTGATAATAGATAAATAGTTTTTAAATTCAACAATAAATTTGGAAGAATAATGATTTCGAGGAGAAAAATCAGTGACCCGAAGCACAACAGATAAGAAGTGTACCTTACACCCGAAGTAGAGCCTAGTACCCTGAACAATGCGCAAACATTGCCAAAATGTATATTCTGGCTAAACCAAATAATATTTGGGTGAGTGGATGACAGCACAAATATATTTACAAAGACAAGGGAAACAGACCTGATACTGCATTCTCAAAATTTTGCCCCGAACCGCTTTGTCTGCTTCTTCATTCTCGATTATCCCTATATGGCCAGGAGTCCAGGTCAGCACGACCTTCTTCCCATCAGCATTGATCTCTTTTAATTATACACACATTTTATTTATTAGTGGTGGCTATAGGCATGGAGGCATTTCTCTTGAGTTGTGAGACCCCACTGATCGTGCATATCATAAAAGTTTTTTCCTGTTTTCAAGGTATCATCACATTGAAATGTACATGACAATCAATTCTGCAGTGTACACGTTCGCTGTGGGGGGAAGAGATATCCCTTCGATCCGCCCTTCAATGTACGCAGCGTAGCTCACATCCTCTGTTGTCTTTGACCCAGCTGTGAAGATGGGTTTAGCGTTACAGTACTTCGTCATCAGGGCGTGAAACTCGCACTTATCCACTTGTACACATACGGTGGTGTATCACGTTTCTTGCTATGCCCTACTGTACGGATCCTTTCCGGTTTTACGCGGTTCAATTCGATCCTCTCCCCCAGTCGTTTCTTAGTTCTTATGGATAGTCATCTCTTACGGGTTTCCCTTAAAACAGATACCGGGTCGGAAAGTGGTACATGTCAGTAAAATTTCTGCTTTGCCCATCGGCTTGCATAATATTTTAAAGACACCTCTTCCCTCTTTAAAGCAGGGGAGGACTCTTGATTTGATGCAAATAATGGGCTCGTTTCAAACGCGCCTGTTACCAATCTCAACTCTTGCATATAAATCGTATCTAATATTTTCAGGGGCGTTCTCCTTGCCGAACCGAGTATTGTGCTCCTTCCTCATCCTACAGAAAAGAACAGCCCTCGTCTTTCCTGTAGAGGAATCGAATCCTATTTTCTCGGCACTGGCCACCATCAATTTGAGTAGTACAAAAATAATGGAATGGAAATTTCCATTTGCAGGAGATGATTTAAAGAAATTTGGTGTATATAAAAAATGATAAAAATGTATGTCCACTGTAATCTAATCTAAATGCCCTAAATGTCACATACAGTGGGATCCGTGATGTTGGGTTCAATTGTTTTATTTTATATACGTTTTATGATTTATTACTGTTTAATCATTTTGCATACTGAATTCTTCTCTAAACAACTAATTACTGTAAAGAAATATGGTTGAGTGAACTAAGTACCTTCCCTCATTACATCCGAAAAACCGAATTGCAAATTATATTGATTTAATTATTCCTGTATTTATTTATTTAATTGTTAAGAGGCAAGTGTTAGTGAGAAGAATGTCTATATCAAAAAAATTAACATTATAATATATTCACTAGTTTTCTTGGTCCGCTTGACCAATTAATATCTTTCAATTAATTAAGGTTTTGAGTTGAGACAAAAAAGTCACTGTCACGAGCGGGATTCGAACCCACGACCTTCGGCTAAATACGCCGCTGCTCTACCACTTGAGCTATCGTGACTTCGATCTACTCGGACACTAACTTCCCATCTGAACCTCATTTTTTTGAATTTTCTTTCCTCTTTGTCATTTTTCAAATGTCGTGTAATCTATTTCATTTGTCGCCGAGAATCAAATAGATTCAGAATCAAATAGATGCAGCAGCCTCTCTATCCGAACATCGTGGGTTCGAATCCAGCTCGTGACAATGACTTTTTTATCTCAACTAAAAACCTTAATTAATTGTAATATATACACTTTTAATATAAGATTTCGCACTCTAGAAAATAAATAACACGTGAAATTAAACATAATTATAATTAAAACATTATAAGTAAACTATAAGAAGTTTAATGATAAATTGATAATATAATATGAATGTAGCGCCTTGAAGAAAACATAATAAATGTTGAAAGTTTGGCAGTAGTGCAAATCTCTATGACTTTTGGACCAAATCCCGGTGCTATAACAACCGCATTATAATGCTGGTCGATTATCACTTTTAGAATATAATATATATTCATATTGATGTATTGGATATTCTTGAGGTCATTTGACTAAAATGACCTCAAGAAGATCCAATACATCAATTTAAACTACGGAGGTCGATCAATATCAACTAGAATATATTCATATATTCCACTGGATCCGTAACTCGTTCAAATGATACATACATATTATTTGTACATTTCTTAAATCTAAAAGGAAAACAACAGAAAATTCGTTTGTTGATCAGACGTATTATTACGTAAGTGATTGATGAATATTCCTGCCAGAAAATTGTATGTTCTTTCTGGCATTGATTCATCGCATCGTCATATTTCCTCGCCTGTGTTCAGCTGACAGAAGGCAGATTTTAGTTTTATCCTGTCAGAGAAATTGTTTGAAGAAAAAGAGGCCGAATGCGCCAATTATCCGTTGTCTGCCAAAGACAATATGCCGGGTGGTGTAACCATCGGCTTTGTAAATTACAGCCGCGGTCTCCTTGATATCGAGATGCTTCGCTCCTGCCTCTCTAGTTTGAGGTTGCGATAAGGCACGGCCTACTTCTAATCAATAGGAACTCCTCCTCCGACAGACCATGCAAATCTCTCGCAGCCAACCCTTCCCCCTTTTCCAACCTGGCACTTCAACCTCTCCCTTTCACCGTTCCCACTTCCCGCAACCGCCTCACCCCCACAGAACACCCCCACCGGCACGACATGAATTGAATTCTGGACCATCAAAGAATTACATAACCCTGTGCTGTGATATTCCATTACAAATAAAAAACTGGATTGTGCAATAAATTGATATTAAATTTATTACATTAATCCCATTAATTAATAATTGCCATAAAATTAATAGAGTAAATATCAAGGCATCATCACTTTTTCTAGCTCTGTGTGTGTTACTACAATCCGATAAAGAATAATATTTTATATTCGTAATGATAACGTTATAGATTCGTTATGATTAAATTAGTTAACAAATTTTACGATTATTTTTTTTTGTGCAATAACAATCACAATCAGTCCAATTACAATAACCGCTTACTTATTTTTTTTTTAATTTACGTTGTTTCATGCCTTATAATTGTTTTATTATTTGTATAAAACAGTAGCCAAAGTAGGAACACTATATAATTTACTGTATTGGCCTGCGCATTCTATGGAAGTTAAAAGTCGACTGAGTAAGTACCAAATATACAATTTTTTATTCCCACTTCATATCACAATTGACCATCACAATTTCTTCCTAAGAAAGGAGATCGCTGTGCCATTTTCTCTTGAGAGGCTTTATACATTCTACGAAGGGAACCGCGCAAGACTGTTTGGGTGTTGAGAGTGTGTATTGAG